GGGGGGTGTATGGTGTGTGGTCATTAAATATGTATTCTGATATATGTTCTTCACAGAAAATGAGCCAAAGCCAGTGAGTCTCAGTTTGAAAAATTAAATAATTATATCATTTTTCTTTTATTAGAAGTGAAAATGGGTCCCACAGACCCGAACACCACACAAGGGTTAAGTATACAAAAGCTACTCAATTACATTAACGTCAGTAAATGTATTCGTTACTTTACATCTCTGCTGACCAGTGAGGCGAGTCTCCAAACCATTTTCAGTTTCAAGGCAGGAACAGAAGAGGGCAGCATTGTTCTGTAATGGTAAAGTCCGTCAAAACAGTGACAAGAGATTAAGTCTTAAAATGGTAACTATGTCCATTTATTTATTTGAACGAAATATCGGCGATATTTTGCGTTTGTTGTAATGAACATTCGCGTCTGCCTCTTCAGCATCAATTTTTAAAAATGTTTTTAGTTCTTGTTTTTCTGCCTACATTCACACGTTTAGAGCGAATTATTAAAACCAACACCAGATATAAGCAGCTCTGGGAGGTAGCGGTGGCAAGACATTTTTTTTTTCTAAAGACCACTGTAACACAGACAAACTGCAGTAAAGACATGAATATAATTATATGTGATTATGTGCAATTGCATATACAGTTGGTTCAACATTCTTGAGTATATCAAGTTATGCTGTACAGTGTACAGTATACAGTGTAAGAACTGGAGCTGCACGCATACGTCATCCACCACCAGGGTCCCTCAGTGCATATTTATTTCCCAAAAGCAATTTCATCTTGGAAGACAATGGAGCAGCCTCTCAGAATGAGCCTTATTATGTCATTATTCTCACTATTCATGCTCTATTTCTTTCTTCCTTGGTCTTCTTCAAAGATCAGTCTATAATAGTAACAAGAGGAAAAGAGAGAAGCACAGAGAGGAAATGATAAATGTGAGAAGGACACACACTGATTAAATCAGATTATTCTGTATGGTTTTCTGCCAACATGATTTTTTTAACATTTGTTTTCAGAGCTGTTTACTCATCACTCAGCATTTTTTATAAACAGAGTTTGTTTTCTCCATTCACAACATAATGAAAATAGCCACATCCTGTGAGAAGCACTTTAACAACCGCTGATCCAACCAGGAGAGTTTTACATATAAAAGGCCAATAAATATGCAACGGAAAGTGAGTGCTGTGTAATAAGTGACAGGAAATAGGAGTTAGAGCCATTCTACTGCAGGATGTAGGAAGAATAATAAAAAGAAAACTTTGAATTTCCAATTTAGAAATAAGACAAAGAGCAAACAGCTCTCATTGAAATGGAACAAACAACAGACTAGTGAATTGTGGCAGAGCAAAATCAAAGCTGTTTTATTGTTTTTAATTTGTCAGCTGCAGTTTAGGGCTGGAGAACGTGAATGGAATACAAACCATGGTCAAGTATGAATTGAATCTCCAAAAAAACCCTGTTCATCCATGGTGCTTTTCTGTAGGAGCTAATGATAAGGCTCAATCCTTTACTTTAAACAGTACAGCAACTAGAAGCTCCTGGAAATAGCTATTTTTCTTTTATTGATAAATCTCTGCACGGTTTAATAATAATTCAAGTGTCTTTGTTGTTTATCCAACTTAGCATCATGAATTATCTTAGAGATATTATGCAGAAAATGTGTTTACAACATACATTTGTTCATAAATAATGGATGCTGATAAATCCTGCAGGGGCTGTTGTCAGATCTGAGAAAAATGGCTCTACCATCTGTGTTCTTCTCTCTGAGCAGTGAGAGAAATTCAAAACAAAAAAACCCAGTGATTTATACCAAAACTCAGACCAGCTCAGCTTCATTTAAAGGACTTTTAAATCATCTCCCGAGATGTGAACCCTGTCTGAATATATGGCAGACAGACTATGTGAATTCAATTGCCAAGGTTTTTTTTTAAAAAAAAAAAAAAATTGACAGTGGTACAAAAAAAATCACCAAACTTGAAATGTCTAACAGGATCAATACTGCTGACCTCTGAACTAAAAGAACAAAAGCCAAATCAAATGTTCTGTCACAATGTCATTTGTAAATGAAATTTGCTGCAGCTGCACTACAGTTCTGTACGTGGGAGAGTCACGACCACAAGGCTGTTCCTGAAGAAACACTGAGGAGATTCTTAATTAGGACTTTTCTCTTTCTCAAACTGAGGGTTCGAGTGACTGGATGCTGAATCAGTGTGAAGCATCAATTTAGCTCCTTTTTTGGATCCTGTTATCTGTCTACAGTTCAGCAGCTCACACAACAAATGAGAGTGAGAACAACGACAGTTGAGCCACTTCTACACATGAGCAGGTAGGTTTAGAATCTGCTTCAGCCAAAAAACAAGAACAAACGTGGCAAAATAAACATCAATAAGTAGAAAAACAGGTTCTTTGTATTGATGTCTTACTGGTCACAATGCAAAAGCATCACACAGGTTTAATCCCATCAGCAGAAGAAAAAAATTATGTAATTGGATGATTGAGAGCTTCAGAGTTAATGTGTGCTTATTTAAATTGCATTGGTGTAACTTAATGAGTCTCTTCACTACCTGCCTAAAACGTTATCTTTACAATTGTCCTGGATGATGCTTCAAAGGACAGGTTTTTGAAAAAAAGGGGTCATTTTTACATATGCTAAAGTGTTTATTATGTCAGATTCAAATACCTTAAATTTATCCATGTGGAGAAAATGTGTGAATGTGGTAATGATAGTAAGATAATGATGTAATTTAAACATAAGATAATGTGGTAAAGTATTGTAAGATAACATGGAAATAATAGTAAGATTCTGTGGTATATAATAATAAGGTCA